CTGAATCAAGATGTTGAAGAAGCTAGGCAAAAGTAAGGATGAAAAAGAGGCTTGGCCAGATACTATGTGACACACTGATAGAAGGATAGCAGACAACCTGCTGATTTTCTTTCAAGTCTGAATTAATAGGAAATTAACATTTATAGCATCATAGATGCAAAAGCTCCCAGGTGGCAGTTATATTATCTCTAAACAATCTTCTGTACTCTATTTTTCAAAGGTCTCTGAGATAAAGGACATAAGTTTAATTAGCAAGTTTCAATTGTCAAAGAATTAAAATTTAACCTTCTATTTGTCAGTAGTTTAAAAAGGAAGTTTCCTGGGTAGTGACTAGGAAAGATGACTATCAGAAGAGCTACTATCAGGTTACACATATTGTATAAGCTTAGCAACACAGATAGAAGTGGGTTGAGTTTTTCATACAGAGTGTGCTATGGATTGGGTTTACAACATCCCCAGAACTCTCATGTATTCAAAGATGAGGTCTGCAAAAGGTGGCTGGGTTATGACTGCTATGGGTAAGTTCAGAATTGAATGGGCTATTAGCAGGTGGAACCAAATGAAGGAAGTTGATCAGTGGGGGAGGGCGCCTTTGAAAGGTGTGCAGTCTCTCTCTCTCTCTCTCTCTCTCTCTCTCTCTCTCTCTCTCTCTCTCTGCCTGTGTGTGTGTGTGTGTGTGTGTGTGTGTGTGTGTGTGTTTGGCTCTTTCTTTGCTCCCTTTAATTCTGGTCACCATGAGGTGAGCAGCTTTCCTGCTTCTTTCTCCTCTGAAATGATGATGTTTCTGCCTTGGAGTCAGCCAACCACAGACCAAAACCCTCGTGGGCCAAAATAAGTATTTTTCTCTCTGCATTGTGTATGTTGTATATATCAGGCATCTTGTCCAAGCAACAAAACATGATTAATACTTCACACTTCAGGTCTCTCCAGCAGCAAAGAGAAAAGCAAACTGACTAGTTTCCTACTCTTCTCTTGTTAAAAGTTTCTATAGAAACTCCTTATTAATGACACATTTTCTAAACACAGATCTTCTAAGCATACAGGTGTCCTCTGATGGCTGCTACAGATTCTCCTTCGTCAGGTATGTGGAGCGGGGCTGGAGGCATTAACTAATCTTTGCTCCAATAAAGGGTTCCATGGGTAGAGAGGAAAAGAGAAAAGAGCCATGGGGAGGAAAAGGAGGACGGGGTAACAGCACAAATATTTGGAGAAATGGAAGCAGAAAAAGGACAAAGAGGAATAAATAGGAAGCTGATTCTCAACACTTGAGTTGAGGGCTCTTGCTATCTCTGTGATGAACTAAGAAGACACTGGAGTGCAATGCCATCCATCTTCATCTCTGGTCTCAGATGTCTTCCTAGGCACACATAGGCTGCCCTGGTTTACAAGTTGGGTGACAAATGTAATTTGGGAAAACAATGTTCTTTTGGTACATGTAGAACAGAAATTTTACTTCTAACAGATTTTTCTTAAAATACCAAAGGCTTGAGACTTACATATATCTCAAGGTATCCCGTACTATCTCAACTAAAAGTAGAAATGAAAATATATGTTTTTTTTTTATTTTTTGGGTCCTGAGATACATATGTAAAATTTCTTGTAAGCCAGTGAATGTTATGCTACTAGAAACATTTAGAATATTTGCCATAGGATGATTTATGGGAATGTCATAGAAGATCTCTGCTTGAGGAAAGAGATGTGGGATTGCACTTACAATTCAATTTAATTTATAGTTAAATACTTATTATTGAAATGTGAGCACAAAGATGTCAGCAAGGTCACTTATAGATGGGCAAAGATAACAGTTATAATGCAAGTGCTATGCCTAAGACTTCCTGAAACGCGCTGAATTCCCAGGAACATTTGCAAAACATTTCTGAAGAAAAATAGAGTGATTTTTTTAGTCTGGATGAGCTCCTTTTTTAAAATAACTAATTGTGTTTGAAAATTAAGATTGAATCCAGAGTCTTCACACTGTCCTACATTCCTGTATCTTTATTTTGAGATAGGGTATTGCTAAATTGTTAAATTGTTCAGTTGAGCTTGAATTTACAATCCTCCTGCCCAAGGCTTATAGAGTTCTGGGGCTGTAGATAGTCACCATCATGGCAGCTTGAGCTGTTTTTTTATTTCGCACTGAGTATTAACCCCTGATTTTGGGCATCAGTAAAGGACCTGATGCACTCGCCTACTGAAAAGACATTGAAGGGAAACAGCATCCTAACAACCAGCTTTATCTGGGGTTCTTCTTCTTTTCACATTTATTACTTTATTCCGAAGTTTTCAGATCATAATTTTCTTTAAACAAAATAATTGGCTGGTTCACTGAAGAGTACGATAACATACCATTTCCTTGTTTGGTTGGGGCTTCCCAAGGTTTTCCAGGCTCTTATAGTAAAATATCTACCCAGACTTTAGATGAGGACAATTTTGTGGCTATGCTGGAGGCATTCAGATTTTGATTGCCACACTGTTTGCCAGGTCTTGCTTTTCTCAGAAAGAATTCCTTTCCTAATTGAAATAAAACTGAGCTAAAATACATTGCTAGAAGAGACTCAATGAGGAAAGTAGACAGAGAAGCCTAATTTCATCTCCCCAGTTTATCTTCCCCTTGCTCACCATTCTTGTCCTTCGAACTTCTCTGATTTCATCCTTTGTTAAATTTCTTGTGAAAGTTTGAGCCAATATCTCTTTATTCTGGTTAGTCCTCTTCCATTAGGAATTCAAAAGTGCAAAACCTTAGTAACTACTAAGGAACAGCAAAGGGGAAGTGATTGTATGTATGTGTTTGTGTGTGTGTAAGGTTGGTTAGCTTTCACCAAAATCAGAAAGTACATTTGAAATGACAAAATTTATAAATAGAGGCTACGAGGCTATCATCTTGGCAGATCTAAAACCAGTAAACAACTGTGAATATCTGTAACTCAGGACAAGGGGCTTGTGTTCCTGCTGCTATGAGGTATGATCAAGTTATGTGATGAATGTTCAGTTTTTTATTAGAAAGCACACATGTCCCGTAGTAGGATTGTCACAATCCCCTTCTAATACTTCTTGTTTCAAGCACATTTATCTTCCTGTTCTTGTGTTTTTCTGAAGCAGTTCTGGAAATTCTATTTCATGAATGTATTTAGTTGTGTTGTGGTCGCTGGGTTAGTGTCCTGAATGATCCAAGACATTTGCCTTTTTCATCATTTTTACTTTAAGGAAGAGACAGAAGTCTCATGGTGCAAAATCCAATGAATAAGGAGAATGAAGACGCACTATGATGATTTTACTGGCCTGCTTTCCATCAAAGGGCACTCGATAGCAGCATGTACTACACTTTTGACGATATCTTATAAAGACACTCATGAAAGGGGACTCCAGAACTGCTTCAGAAGATGGCAGAACGATGAGAGAGGTGTGTTTGAAGCCAGTGGGAGTATGTTGAGAAAGATTAATGCTAATATGTCTTCTACTGTATTACATTTTTAAAATTTAAATTTATTAGTACATGTTTAGAGTAAATAATAATCAGATATATCACAGAGATTTTCTGCATAAACATCATACATCTTAGTACTTCTTACTTCCTCTTCTCTCACCTCTTTCCCCCTCTCTGCATCCCCTCCCATTGTCAAAAGATATATTTCTGTGTTTCCTACTAGCTATCTTTTATTTTGCTCTTTAAATTATTCATCCTTTTAGATATGACATTGAAAAAACAGGGTAAACTTTCATAATATATTTTTATGATACTTGATAAGGTGACTTTCCATAGAAGCCAGAGAATATACAAATAGCAAAAATAGGGTCAAATACGACTTTCAAGTAAAAAATCACAAAATCAGTCACAAAAGCAATAGCACACGCTCAAGTTCCCCCGATCCCATTTTAAAAGCATCTCTTCATGGAGAACTTCAAGGTCAGTGTGGGCAGAAATGCATTTACTTAAAAAATAGTTAATTATTTTCCTGAAAAAAGCTGGCAAGCTCAGCCAGAACTGAAATTTTAAATACCTTTTACATTTTAAAGAACATACTTCCAAAACTGCTACAGCTAGCTCTAGCCTAAAAAATTACATGCTTTATATTTTATTCCTTTTCTTTTTCTTTTTAATTAACAAATAAAATGTGTATATGATATCCTTAAGGAGTATAGCATGATCTTTCAAAACAATTTATAAATTATGGAATAGATAAACCAAGCTAATCAACAGGCATTCCCTTACATGTCTACGATTTATTGGTGGTGAGAAAACTTACAATCTGCTCACTGAGATTTTTTGATACTTTATTTTAAAGAGAATAAAACAAAATATAATAAAATGAAACAAAACAATGGTAATGATTATTGGATTTCAAAAACAAGACAGTAGGAAATCAACCATAGTTAGTGTAGTGCACATTATTTTCCTCTAAATAGATGCTCAGACCAATAGACACAGGGATGCAAAGTCAATCATATGGCACAAACAATAATTTTTTTTTTTTTTACTTCAGTTGCCATATCTCAGAAATTTCAGGTATGTGGCTTCTAATTTCCTCTTTGTATCTCCTGGACTTGTTCTGGGTGAGATAGAGCCTTGCAAAGTTAAATAAATAATATAAGCATTAAGTTACCTCTTTACTCCAGTTGCTATCATTTCAGAAATTTCAGGTGTGTGAATTCTAATTTCCTCTGTGTCTGTGTATTTTGGACTTGTTCTGGGTGGGCTGGAGGTCTGCTCCTTCATCCTGACATTTTCCAGCGTCCTCAGAATCAGCGGGTTGCCGAGTTCTGGCTGTTTCCTGCATTGGCGGCCCAACCTGTGGTGCAGGGGATCGAGCTAGGCACCTGGGTTCCTCTGATCCGAGGTTCCCAGGGTGATGGAGAGGTGTGTGGTGGCTGCTCATTGGTGTTTCCCTGATGGCAGTGGGCCTCTAGGAATGTGGCTTGCTGTCCAGGCCTGTGGTAGTAAGCTCACCAGGGGACGAGGTTTCTTCTCCTCCAGGTGCACAGTGGCGGGCTCACAAGGCGGGGATTGCTTCTTTTTAATGAATTGACCAATGCATTTCTAAAATTCTGAAATGGCCAGCAGACCATAGAAAGATAACTCTTTAGGCTCCCGATTGAAACCAACAGCTTTAGAAAACTGCCGGCCTTGATTCAGAGCCATTACTGACTGAAATTTTGAGTCTACTGCACTTTCTAGTGCAGATGCTCATTGATTTAAAATGAGGTTACACGTAGATAAACCAATTTTACGTTTGAATAAATTGAAAATGTATTTTAAATTTTGTTATTTTTCAAAAACAATTTTATTGAGGTATAACTGACAAACAATGCCTAAATTTGAAGTCTACAGTAAGTTTTATACACATCGTGGGCCCATTATCCAATCACAGTAATAAAACACCATGATACAATCACAATCATTTACCACCTCCAAAGATCTCTGTGGTCTTTTATAATCCCAAACAACTGCAATCAAACAGCCACTGATAGGGAATAAACTACAGATATAAGACGTAAAATAGGTGGACCACAGGGAATTATGTCAGTCAAAAAAAACATGAGAGAGTTCTGTACTGCATATCATGAACTTGGGAAAAGATGAAAATTCAAAACTAAAAGCATGGTTTCTATTGAATGTATACCACTTCTACACCATTGTATAGCTGGATATCATGAGCCAAGACATGATATCTAAGGTACAGCCTGCATACAACCCATTATTCTACAATAAAACACTTAAACTCACTCTTCCTTCCTAACTGAAACTTGGATACTTTTGCCATCATTACCCCAAACCCACCAAATCTCCCAGTACAAATTCAACTTTTTTAGATTTCACACAGAGGACTTCCCAGTTTCTGCCAGAGTCTGTTAGAACTCTCATATCAAAAAGCTAACACGAATGTCTCAGACTTATAACCACATGTTTTGCCATTATGTTCACGGTTTTCTGTCTTCCCTATCTGACCTCTGGGAACTGGTTTCCTTGCTATCTTTTTCCTTTCATGGGTCCACATTCACTTAATTTCTCCACTTAGTCTTTCTTCTTTTATGGCAGAAGTGCAGACAGATGTAGATTTAAATACTGGCTAAATGATTTTTTAGCAATGTTTAACTTGAGCACATTATTCAGCTTAGTTAATACTTTGTCTCATCTATAATAAGAATTTTGCATAGCTGTTTTGAGAAAGAAAAATTATTTATATTTTCCAAAGAAGCTAATATATTATCTACCATAGGATAGATGCTAAATACACTTCCTCAAAGGAATGTAAAAACCATTTCTATACAGACTTCAGTGCTTGGAGAATTTTTGTCCCAATCTATTCCCCTCAGAGAGAACACATTTCTCAGAGTTCCCTCCATTTGTTAATGCTAGTGATAAGAAGATTCTGCTGTAACATACAAGGCTATGGTCCAATTATGTGTCATTTTTAGAGTCTATCCAAAACAAATATGATTTTTAGGCTTCGGTCTTTCAATTTTTCAGACATTCAAGTCTTCACAAGAATTTCTGTCGACACAAGAAAAACATCTTAATTGATAAAGGTTTGTGTCTTCCAGGAAATCTGCTAAATTGTATAGAAGAACAGTTCATTCCTTTGAAGGCTAGGAACAGATCACAAGGTGTACTGACTTAAGTAAAAAAGTGTCTTCTCAAAATTTGTCTACCCAGAACCTCAGAATGTTACCTGATTTGGGAATGCAGTCAATGCAAAGTAACGTACTAAGATGATACAACAGTAGGTTAGAGGAATTCCTAGATCTCATGGTTGCCATCCTCTTTAGGCTACCATATAAAATATTCTAAACTGGTATTTTAAACAATAAAGATTTCTTTTCCATAGTACTGGGGGCTGGAAAGTCTAAGATCAAGGTGCTGACAGATTTAGGATCTAGTGAAGGCCTGCTTCTCAGTCACAGGTGGCACCTTCTAGTTGTATCCTTACATGGTAGAAGCAACTAGCTAGCACCCTGGGGTCTTCTTTATTTACTAAAGTACTAACTTAGTTAATTTTCTCATTGTGGAACTTTGTCTCATTGTGGCAAAATTCCCATCACCCAAAGTTAAAGGAAGAAAAGTTTATTTCAGTTCACAGAGGTTTCAGTCCACAGTCAGCTGGTTCCAAGAACAGCACAGCAGTAGAGCATCACGGGAAAAAACAGTGCATGGTGTGGCAAGCAAAGGCAGTGAGCCTTTCTCTTTCCTTTCCCGTTTATTGCAAGCAGGTGACAAACCTATTGGTTGGTGCCACTCATACCTGGGGCGGGGGTTCTTCTTTCTTTAGTAAACCCCTTCTACCTAGAACTACACTAAAAAAACAAAATCAGCAGACTAATTTAGGATCAAACACCCTTAATCCCAGTGTCACACAACCAGATTCAGCTAGCTCCACAAAACTGCAGGTAAAGAAACAGACACCACGGCTTAGTCTTATTCAAGGGAGCTCCCAGGCTCCTCTAGATGACTGGAATTCAGGAGTTCTAATTTTCTAACAGGGCCTACGTCCAGTAAGATGGCCCACCTTTGAGGGGTTTGTACCTATGATAATGCTTCAGGTACAGTCCTAGGTGGACACTCAAAGTTGGTTGTATTTGAGAGAAATTTGATTCCAGAAGAGTACGTGTATATCCAAACTCGTACCCTTCAAATTCCTTTCACCTGTTTTTTGTTTGTTTATTTGTTTGTTTGGAGACGTCCCAAGTGGTTCGTGCTCCTAAATCCTATGTGGTACATGAACACTGAGAATATAGCAGTTCACTCACTGGAGCAGAGCAATAGAAGGAGGATAGCCCTGAGCATACCTAAGAGACGGGTCTTTCCAGTTTTCTCTACACCAAGGTATTTCAGCTCATTCTCTCTCACCTCAAGATTATGTTTAATAGTTTTAAGAAAGAAAACAATGATAGAAACACAGGGCTGCTTACTCTTATTGAAGAATTATAAAGAGAAACAGTGTAGATATGGGGAAAAAAAAGAAGCAGGCAGATCAATTCAGGAGACAATTCACCACCATTATAACAATGCTGTAAGAGAGAAAGACTGCATGGCAAACGCGAGTGGTGCCTAACCAGTCTGCAAGGATTGCTTTCCTCCTTCCTCTTGACAGCATTAGAGTGGTGAAGATTAGTCAGGTCATAGAGGGTGGAGGTGCTCAAGATAAACACTTTAGAAGGCTGTTTTTACATGAAGAAAATACCCGAAGCTTTCGGAATTCAGTAATTAAAGAATTGAATATAAAATAAATAAAGGACACAGTGAAGAGCTAAAGAGTTCCCAGTGGAAATCAAAGAAATTGAGAAGTTGAAAGTAAAATCAAAATTCATAAAAATATAATTATAGGGGTAAAAGGCAGGAGAAATGTGATCAGGATGAATGACAGATGTAAATAGTTTTTTACCTTGATCAACAAATAAAATTCGTGACAAAAGTAAGAAAGTTTAATAATTTTAATTCAATAAATAGTAATACAATGCTGGCTTTGTGCTAGTTATAGTGTCATGTGCTGAGAGCCAGTGATGAACAATAGAGTGACTTAAAGTGTGTGGGCAGGACAGCAATGCTAAACTCCCCTAGAAATCTGAGTGCTTTTCTTGGCACTATGAAAACTTAAAAAACATAAATGGGTTGAAACTGAAAAACAGGTGTCAGAAGGAAATGACTCAAATGTATCTATTTTAAATAACTTGCATTTATTTTAGAAGTTATAAACATATTTAACAGAGAAAACTCCTTATCAGATCTTGTTGAATAATTTATTTGGAAATACTTAGGTGTTTTTTTTTAAATACATGCAACATACACACACAACACATTTCTAAGTTAAAATAAAGTAATATTTTTCAGCATATCTGTTCCTACAATTTATTTTCTTATTTATCCTTTGTTTAGACATTGCCATAGAATATGGCTTGATTTTCTTTTTTTTTTCATTTTTCTAAGAAAATTTCTTTTCTTGAATTCCAGCTATTCTTTCAAATGTCCATAGAGAAAAATAATAAAGTTTAAATTAAGTAACTTCCTTTTCTTAGTCTCTTCCTTGAGGTTCAAAGCTGCAGAGAGCATCTGCCTTGAGAAGACAAATGACAAAAATAACTTCCAGCCACTTTGTGTTTGAACAGGTTAGGAAGATTTCATATCTTGAGTCTTCCAAATGTAAATGGTATTCAGACTAGAAAGAGGAAAAAAGATACTCTCTAGGATTTCTGCAATGCAGTTTAAAAATTCATACCCCTAAGTATGGCCAGACCATGTATTTCAAAGCCCTGAAATTAGGTTCCTTTACTTTAAATTGAGGTGAAATATTAATTGGCATAACCTGGAACCTAAAACACAAGGAGTGTCACAAATGAATAGTTACAGTAATACAAGCCAAAATTAATCTTACTAGTTTTGAGAAAATGGTAAATTCATATGCGTAAAATACATGGACCATGTCACCACACTACTCATGCCCCATTAGCATATCAATGTCAAGTTAATATTCCTAAAATGTCAAATTTGTGAGACTAATAAAAATAAGTCACAGTCTTTGCTTTCAGACAGCCAGCTGGGTAGATGGCAATCTCTTGCTTCCTTTAGCCATGTTCTACTCCATTTCATCAGAGACACCTCCCTACTATGATTCCTCAATGTCCCATCATGTTCTTTCTAGGTGTCAACGTCTTTAGTCAATAATGTGACTTACCTGGTAGATTCATACCTATTCTCATCAGCTTTCTTTTGGATCCAACATAAAGGTTACCTCTATAAAGGGTATAATCAAGCATCAGTATTCACTGAACATCTATTGTGTGCCTCTCATTCTATTAAGGTATGGAGGGAAAGAAAAGGAGAAATGACTAGATAATTAAACACAATTCCTGTAATGATCTAAAAGTAGAGTTCAAGATGGAGCATCAGCAATAGCTTCACATCAAAGTCAGAGCTAGCAAACGGCTTATCTATGCATTGCAGAGAGAAAAAGAACTAAAAATGAGATCCCAATGGCCTATTTTCCAACAAAGATACATGCATACAGAATATAATGTAGTGATACGCAGTCTCCACTAGAACAGCTTTCTTGGGTTCTTTGTCTCCCTGTTTGCTTTGTAAGCCTGTCAGATGCAGGAAGTTTTCATTTCTAGCCTACCATGCTGTTAAATTTGAATATTGTTGGC